TCATTCATTCAATGTTGTAAGTCTTTCTGGTCATTCTCATTTTCTACACTAGGAGTAACTTCTACCGTAGAAAATCTTGCTTTTTTGAAACACTTTGTCACAGTTTCTGGTAACAACTTCTTTACTGCTTGACTTATCCAAATAACCGACTCTAGAACCGAGACAGTTCTTGTAAGTTCAGAGGCGGATGATGTAGAATCTATATTGACGAGCAAAGATTGCATTACTAATTTACGATAGTGGACCTTAACATTCCGAATGATGCCCTGATCCATTGTTTGAGAAACACTAGTGGTGTTTGGAGGGAACCAAGGAAGTTGCACGTTGGAAAGTTCAATATGGGGGTGGCATGTTGCGTTATCCAAGAACAACGGTTTTCCATTTTCATTCTATCATTGAAGGCCGTTAACCATTGCTCCATGATCTATGGCGTCATCCATGCCTTTTTGTTGGATCTCCACTCAACGGGAAGTTTCTGTATGTCCATGTTTCAGAAACATCGTGGCTTTGCTGCCTTGCCAATCACTAAGGTTTTCTCCATTTCACCTGACATATAACCACATAGAAAAACAGTCAATCTTTCTTTGCACAGTTTTCCTCCCAAACATTTTTCACCTTTCAGACATAGCGATTTATTCAGAAGTGCATGGAAGAACAGTCCAGTCTCATCACCGTTCGCTATGTTTTCAGGTTCATATCCCTCAATTATGGATGGCAATTTAGCTTCCCATTCCTTAATGGTCTCACTATTTACATCACTTGATTCACCACAAAGTTCATTAAAAACTCTCCAATGTCTTTTTGCGAAAACTGTCCAACCATCCGTTAGATGCTTTGAATTCAATCTTCCCCAGTTTTTCAGCGACTTTTTTAGCATATTCTTGTACCATAGGACCCAACAACTGGTGATTTTTTGCCCTCACACTGACAAACCACTCCCGCACTATTTCATTAACATCTTCGTTTGCAGTTTTCTTAAGTTCTCTTTTTATTTTTCCATTAGCACAAGTTTCCCACCGCTTCAGAATTTCCGTTTTCTTCTTTAGAATCTCATACACTTGAGTTTTACCGACGTTAAACATCTACATGATCTGCTTAACAGACAATTTATCTCGCTCACTCGCATGAATCACTTTTATCTTGTGTTAAGATCAAGCACAACTCTTGTCTTTGTAGCCATGATGACAACTGCTAGACTAAAGTAAAACTGTAGGCCTAGAGCCCTTACTGAATACAGTTTCCAGAAGGGGAAAACAATTCTGCTGAATCTCAGTGCAGGTAGTGCAGTACCATTAGAAGCTTATTTTAAAGAGTTAGGAAAAACAAAATTCTGTAGAATGTATAGGGTGCCTAAAATTATTCTAAACGATTCATTGTGGAAGACTGGAAATTTTCCGTATAAAGGCTTATTTTGATTTCTGTTGTCCGCGTTAGACAGTTTCCATTTAATCCAGGTTATTTAACGCCTTTTTCAGCCCCAAAGTCAAGTGACCTGAAAATATTTCCATTTAAGACAGATTTCCGTTTAAGGCAGGTTTTACTGTACATATTTCATCTGTTTTCACAAGAAGTTCATCTGAGCACACATGGTATTTGATTTTGAAACTCATAGTAGCAGACTTGAATTGAGCAACATAGCACATCTCTTATTGGATAGTACAATATCAGTGGGCATGCCTCAATTATCAGGAGATATGAGTCCTGCTACAATGTTTATCCTTTGTCTGCTTCTGCTGCTGTTTGGTTGTTAGTTTGTTGTTCATGCTTTTTTATGAAGTTCCATTATTTTTTGTCTTTTTCATTATCTGAATATTCCTGCATATTGAAAGATTTTTTTATTAGCATCTTTGCATCTTCCTGGCTGTAGTAGTTATGTTTAGGTAATCTTGGTATGACTAGCAGTCCAGTGCCAACAAATTAACTATAAATGATCCATTTATTTATATGGCCATGCATGTTTTGGCCATTCATGGTCATCTTCAGAGACACAACAGTGAAAGGAACTTGCTTTACATTTGCTGTAGATCTTAATATAATCATAAGTTATACAGTTTCATGTTAAAGTAATTTGTTCAGGTATGTCCAGTTTGCTTATTGCAGTTTCTGTTCCTTGGCCTGATATTTTGATTTAGTCTTTGTGCTTGTGTTTTGAATTATTTTTCTTTCTTTTGCTTAATAGATGTATCATTATTGTATGTTTTTTAGTTTTGGTCATGTTGTGTATTTTTGCTTTTGGTATATTTTTTCCATTTTGTATTATCATTTTTGATTTGTGGTGTGTTTGATGTTATTCCAGGTTAGTTACCAAACACTTGAATTGTGTATATGTGTGTGGTAAAGTTCTTTACTTGTTGAAGAAAGTTGTCTTCTGGGTTTAGGCACCGTGTATTCTTCGTTTTGGCCGACGTTTCGGAGGAACGTAGCGCCTCCATCTTCAGAGCAGTTGAATAGCTGCGGAGAGCAGTAGCTGTGGTGATAGGATGTGGAAGGTGCTGCTATACGAAGTAGGCAGGGGGGGTGGTTAGGGAGAACGGACCAATGGGAGCAGTGGAGAGCGATTAAGGCCATATATGGTGTGTGACTAAGGGCGAGGGGGAACGGTCAGTGAGTACAGGAAACTTGAGGTCAATAGCACTAGGAAGTGCGGTAGTCAAAACCGGTAGGTTGAGGACAGGCTATTGACGTCAATGACATGACGAAGAACTGGTGTGGCTTGTAGGATTCTCTTGAGGGAAAGGATGTTTCATGTACTCATTGACCGTTCCCCCTCTCCCTTAGTCACACACCATATATGGCCTTAATCGCTCTCCACTGCTCCCATTGGTCCGTTCTCCCTAACCACCCCCCCTGCCTACTTCGTATATAAGCAGCACCTTCCACATCCTATCACCACAGCTACTGCTCTCCGCAGCTATTCAACTGCTCTGAAGATGGAGGCGCTACGTTCCTCCGAAACGTCGGCCAAAACGAAGAATACACGGTGCCTAAACCCAGAAGACAACTTTCTTCATTGTCATTGCCGTGAAAACCTCAAAACTTCTTTACTTGTTGTTTCACTTAGTGTAACAATTTTGTTTCATTCTTTATGCATAATATTCAGGCTTAGTTATATGTTTTTTGTCTGCTATATTCATGGTTGGTATTCTTATGTGTGCATAATTTGGTACTAATTTCGTTTCTGAGAAAATTTCGTTAAAATTTGTGTGTGCATTACATTGTCAAACTTCCACACTGAAAATGAAGTCAGCAGGCTCCCCTGAAACAGTACTTATATGCCAAACAATATGGAGTCACATCCCATAGTCATTGTCATAACAACTTCAGATTTCATGTACTTTATTATATTTGTTCTGGTCTAATAAATTTAAATAAAACTTGAATTCTGAATTGTGTTTTGCACCAGACGATATCACATGAGTGTGCTTAAGAAACTGTTGTGCCCAATCTGCCTAAATCCTTTACTTACATTATCCTATTTGTATTTCTGAGAAGTAGTGGGTCTGGAACAGGATCCACTCAGCCTCATGATGATAATTGTGGAGCTATTTCAAGGAAATCGCGGCTTGGTCTAGAAAACCAAGATTAATGGCTGTGGGAATCTCTTGTGCTGACCACATGACACCCTCTATCTGCAAAAGTTGGCACTAATTTCACCAAAAAGCAGCGGTCGATCAGTCAGAATAGTTCAGTTGTTGACTACAGACCACGGAGTTTGTTCGTTTGTTCCCTGGAAATTAAAAATAATATATTTAACAACATTGTTTAGAATATTCTACTATGTGAAGAGGGTATTGATTGAAAAACTGAGGACTGAAATAAGGACTGTTGCATTCAGTTATTTAACCTTTAATGTCCAAAGTGCCCTGATTGGGCCAGTCATAAGCATGGTCGTCGTGGCCACAGTACCACGTTTTGGCCAATTGGACATTTAAACTCCGCTAGTAGAAGCACATGCACAGTCCTAAATATTTATTTTTAAATGCAGTAATTACCAGACAGACTTGAGTAAAACCCTAATAGAGGAATTAAAATGATACCTAAGTGAACAGCAACAAAAAAGAATATACATATGAGTTATGCCCAAACTCATCTACAAGCCAGTACTTTTATTGCAGATTCTGCAGATTAATGTATTAAAAATATATAGTAAAATTCGATGTACATACCTTTTTTGTTGTTATCTGCTTGATGTATACACGTAGATAGGCTGAAATGAAACTACAGTATTCGATTTCACAGAAAACAGATCGCACGATGTATCTCAGCCACGATGCTATTGTCTGTTCACGACCCTAGAAAGGTCAGTAATCTCTTGCAGCTATAACGGAAGGTCTTAGCACTGAAGAAGGGACCCCCTCTAGGTTTCTCTTGAATAGCCATTCTTTCATTCTTCTGTCCTTCAGTCAAAAGATTCGAAAATCCGAAGGGTGTAAGCAGTGCTAGCAGAAGACCAAATGATTTTATTGCTTCCATCTGTTTTATGACACCAGGGACCGCTAAAATTTTTCAAGTGTTACAAACATAAATTAATTTATAATGCAGAACAACTCTGTGAAGAACTGGGAAACCATTTTTGCAGTGGGCATCAAAATTAAAAGAAAAAAAAAATTGAAAATAGCATATAACTCTTTGTATAAAAATTGTCAAATCTTCCGTTATAATATGCGACACTATGTTCTTTGCTGATACAAACAAAGTTAATTCCATCCATTTATCATATGAATTGAGTTAGATGCAGCATTTTTAAACACATTGTTTAAAATTGTTTAAGCGCCTTAACAGGAATGGACATTTAAATGCTGAGTAGCAACAAGCATTTAAATAAACTCCAGCCAGCTCAGGCATTCCACCATTTCAGAAGTTTGGCATTTAAAGGTTATGAATATGTCTTCAGGCGATAAGGAAACTAGAGCGAGGAATTATGTTCTCAGTGGATCGTTGTAAACTTTTCCCATGTTCCTTATGGGACCAGAATAATGAATAAGAATGTATACTTCCAGGGAAGATGTACATATTGATGGCACTGGACTGATTGTTGTACTGATTGTACCTTTCATGTGTGTGCACTTGAACACACAGCAGTATGACTCCCTTCCTCCAAAGAGGCAACTCCGTATCACATGTGCTGGTGTTTGGCACAATTTTGTTCTGACCATTGCTGCCATGTCTGTGCTGATACTGCTTCCAGTTCTGCTGTATCCATTCTTTGACATTGGCACTGGGGTTACTGTCAGGAACATTCAGCAGGTACGTGCCATTGGTCTTTCACATTTTAGGGTTCCAAAGGGTTGGCCACAGTGCTTTTAAGTAGCACTGATACTAACAGGAAATATGTTTATAACATGTCCATTGATAAAGAGCATGAAATTATTTTTATAATATATATGTAGAGTATGATTTCTATGCTGTGAATAAGAAATTTGGTGATAGCATGCAGTGATTCATTGTAATAATTTTGCTGTAGATATTAAAGTGAAATACTCTCAAAATATCTGATGCAACATGTATGGTCTGTAGCTAGACATTCATTCCTGCAATCATTATTATGACTGTCAATTTAATTGTGTTAAGCATAGCAGCATTCTTCAGTTCTAATGACAGTATTGTCACATGTAGGGAGGGGGGACCTGTGACTAAATGACGGGTTCTAGTTCAAATGATTGGATTTATTAACAGCTTGGTTACACACACTCCTTTGATTGCACTCAGATACAGCCCTATTGCTGATTTACACACACCTTATAATCCACTGTGCCGTTGCACACACAAAGTCTTCTAAATTACACTTGACATTCTCACAGGCAACCTTCTGTATTGTAAGATCTGAGGCTTTCACGGCGGTGACTATGAAGAAAGCAGTCTTCTGGGATTTGGCACTGTGTATGTGGTGTTAACCGACGTTCCTCCGAAACGTCGGTTAACACCACATATACACGGTGCCAAATCCCAGAAGACTGCTTTCTTCAACCTTCTGTATTCCTCGTTCCACTTTTCTTGCTTCCGCCACTCTCACCTACTCGTAACTGCCTCAACACTGACAAATACTCATTATGTAGCTTCTGCACTGACCACACAGAAAACAGCCTATATTGTTGGAACGTGTTCACTGAGCTATTGCCCAGCAACAGACTCCATAGAAACCAGTTACATGATAGCTACCAGTGTTACGGGACATCACAGCCTAGTGGAGAGGGGTGTCAGCCGAGGGTTGCATAGTATTGGGATGAGTGGGGATATGTGACATCACTCGCACTTCCTGTTACACTATCCAAGTGTTCACAGAGTTGTCACCTAGCAACGCGCTGATACGATCCACAACTCTCCTGTTGCGTGCATGCCCCAAGGCCTCTGTGGCTCAACAGTTCCTGAATAGAGCAAATATGCCACAGTATGTTTTTCAGAATTTCCCCTTTTTTGTTTCATGAATTAAGCTTAAATTTGAGAAAATGATTCACATATTTTAAGTATTACAGGTTAATTATTAATTATCTTATAAGTTTCTGCATTTGCACCAGTTACATTGAGTTGACTGTAGCTATTTTCCATTTTGTTATAGCGATTTATGTATTTCCAGGTTCTAGACCACTTATAGTGAGTGTAGCTCCATTGTTTCACACTGTTATGAATTCTTATAACACCTCCAATACAATAACAATATTTGTTCAGTTCCGCAATCCTGATTATGCCTTGTGACCCTTTTTTGGAGTTAAGGATGAGGAAGTCTAGAGTGAAATAAAGTAACATACATGTCGATTCAGTGTTAGTAATTTTGCTATGAATTTGAGAGGTCTAATATTTGGTTCTCAACCCAGATGTCAATTATCATGACTAACGTTTTCCATAGTTTTTCTCAGACCTTCCAGGAGAATTCTGGGATAACACCTCAGATTAGGTCATGGCCATTTCTGTCTGCAGCCTTTCCACATTCATCATTCACATTTATCCTTTCACTTTGCTAGAGAACCTACATGTGCAGTGTAGAAAATGGAGTAATTAGTTTATCTGAATAAGCCCCCTACCACAAAAGCAGACGGAGACTGGGATTAAAGCTCCAGCATTCCTTTTCTTGCCCATTACCAGTGCAGAATTCTGCCCCTCTACCTCTCCAGTTCAAAACAAATTAACTTTCTCAAAACTCATCACAGTTAACACTTTGCGGACCGGTGATTTAAATATTTAAATTACCCTGGGGACCGGCATTTGTATACCCACTAACCTAACTTGTGCACTGTTCACTTTAAAAATTAATATAAAATCTCCTAATTAATTTTATGAACTAAAATTTTTGGAGAACACTTACCAATGCTCCTAGAAGTGCTTGATAGTGTGATATTTCTGGAAACATTCCCCTTTGTGAAGTGGCATTACACACTTGCAAATGTAGACAGTCATAGTCCTTTTTTTGTGAACTGCGCAAACACGGCATTGCCTAGAAGGATGCTTCCCCTTGGAATGTTCACTCTTCACAATTTTTGCCAGGGTATGTTTCCGCATATCACCTNGGGGTGTCTACATGAGGCCTGCATGGGGTAAGAGTTGATGGGCTAGGTCACACTAAGTCTTCGTGTGACCCTGGTTCTGCCGCCACCATCTGCACTGTAGCCCTGGCCTTTGCCACATTCATCAGAAATGCTTTGTATTTCAATTTTGAATCAGGGTTTAGGTTTTTGTAAACTAAAAGTGAATTGAAAATGGCACAATTTATAAGCCACAAGGCAACTTTCATTTTTATTATCTGTGGCCACAATTCTTTGTTGAACCTTGTCAGTTCCACTGTCTGAGTCACTAATCACTACTCCTCCACAAGGCATGTCAGATAGCTCATCGGGAAACAGGTCAGAGAGATCGCTTTGCCTTCAACCACCTTTGTCCTTGAAACATATTCCCATTTACTAACTTCCTGCCTGGTACATAAACAGCTGGAAGGGGCAAAGTTTATTTTCTTTTGGAGTAGGGACCCAAGCCACCCAGGTCAAGTTACTGAATACCTAGCATACATTCCGAAGATTTATTACGCAGTATTCATTGCAGTTGCGTGGTGCCAGAGCAAGGTATAGTGTGTTACAACCTAATGTGTCCTGAAATGATGATATCATGTGACCGGTCTGCCATGTTTAAAAGCGAAAAGCATGATATCATGTGTCCGGTCCACAAAGTGTTAATAATTCAGAATTCTCAAACACTGTGACAAAAACTGTTGTTAATGTCATAATTCTTAAAATATTGTTATTCATGTTGTTGCATAACATTTAGATGACTGTCAATAGCATGATATCATGCGTCTGGTCCGCAAAGTGTTAATAATTCAGAATTCTCAAACACTGTGACAAAAACTGTTGTTGATGTCATAATTCTTAAAATAGTGTTATTCATGTTGTTGCATAACATTTAGATGACTGTCAATTAATGGTCATGTGAACAAAAACGAGCAGCAGAAATTAATTTTCACATAACAGAAAAGAAAAAAAAAATGATGCAAAAATATTGGTATGAATGTTTGACTTACCTTGTTAAGTGGCTCCCTTGTCACCATGGCATGGTGTGCCCTCAGGTTGTGGATGGAGAAGGCAGCCTCTGGATATGGAGGACAGCTGCGAATATATTGAATAAGCAGTCATATACAACCGACAAGGGGTGGTTCTCCAGCTTGGGGGTTGGACGTGGGGCTAAAACTCCTCACCGGGAAAAATAACCTTGTTATGAAAGCTCACATGGTACGTCAGACCAGGATGGATTCCTTGAATAAACGAACTAAGCGAAAGAAAATGGATATGAGATTTTGTACTTGGAATGCTAGAAGTATGTACGAGGGGGTACCCAAAAGGAACCGAACTTATTTTAACTTATTTATTCAAATTTTAAGCACAAACCTTTAATCCCCTTCAAAGTACTCTCCACTTACACTAATATACTTGTCTAGTCTTTTATTCCATTTTTCAAAACATTGTCTAAATTCATCTTTTGAGATGCTTGACAGTGCCTCCGTCATTTTTTCCTTCACCTCAGCAACATCAGCAAAATGTTTTCCTTTCATGTCTCTTTTCATTCGAGGAAACAAAAAAAAGTCGCACGGGGCAAGGTCGGGTGAGTATGGAGGGTGAGGAACAGGGGTCATACCATTTTTGGTCAAGAATTGTCATACAGACAGGGCTGTGTGAGCAGGGGCATTGTCATGATGGAAAAACCAGTCACCAGACTGCCACAAATCTGGCCGCTTCCGCCGCAAACTGTTGCGCAATCTTTTCAAAACGTCCAAGTAGAAAGCCTGGTTAACTGTCTGACCCAGCGGAACAAACTCTGAATGGACGACTCCTCTCACATTGAAAAAACAAATCAGCATTGTTTTCATGTTTGATTTCACCTGACGAGCTTTCTTGGGGCGAGGCGAACTTGTAGTCTTCCACTGGCTTGATTGTTGCTTTGATTCAGGATCGTAAGCATAGCACCAGGTTTCGTCACCGGTGATAATTTTTGAAAAGAAGTTTTGATCATTTCGGGACTCTTCTTTCAAAGCACAGCATGCTTCCACGCGACCTTGTTTTTGTTCAGCAGTCAGCAGTTGTGGCACGAATTTCGCAGCCACCATTTTCATTCGCAAATCTTTTGTCAAAATTCGCTGAACTGAGCTCAAAGTCACTCCCGACAGCTCCACAATTTCTTCAATGGTCCGTTGTCTATCTTCCTTGATGATTTCATTAATTTTTTCAACATTTTCATGTGTTCGGGCCTTGGAAGGACGACCAGAATGAGGTTTGTCATCAATTGACATTTCACCATTTTTGAAACGGGAAAACCACCCAAATACTTGAGTTTTCCCCATAGCATCGTCCTTGTACGCCGTTTTTAACATTTCAAGAGTTTCTGTTCCACTTTTCCCGAGCAAAAAGCAGAATTTCACCGCCGCACGTGGTTCATGAAAATCAGCCATTGCAAAAACGACAATCACACAAAACAGTTGTCACTATAAACTCTGCCAAAACTAGTCCTTACCTTCTGAAGCAACGGTAGTTGGCTTATCGACTCGGGAATGTTAGCTCTATGCGCTCATAGCGGCAAAACGTGGTACTACAAAAGCTCTGCCCACAAAAAAATTAGTTTGGTTTCTTTTGGGTACCCCATCATATAGGGCAGGTTCACTCAGGCAGTGGCAGAAGAAATCTAAAAATATGAGTTAGATTTAATGGGCGTACAGGAGGTCAGATGGGACGGAGGTGGCATTGCACCAGTAGGTGAATATACATTTTTCT